AAAATATTATTTTATAGAGTAAAATTAGAAGAAATTTTTAGAAACGACCAAAAATAATCATTTTAGTGGGTTAAGAAATACGATAAAAAATACGCTATACCAAAAACCACCCAAAATAAGTGCTCCCAAAAAACTAACAAGAACCAATTTTTCCAACCTTTCATAAATCCGTGAAATAAAAAAAAAATCCCAGACACTTCCGTTAAGATCACCAAGAAATTGAAGATACATGCCTCAAAGCCACAAGGTACTCAAACCTTAGGCATTAGATGTGATCTAAGAATCCCTACAAACCATTCCTAGGGTATCAGATGTTTGTCGTGCAACACAAGAATAGCTAGAATCAAAAGTCAAACATGGATAACATTAGATGTGATCTAAGAATCACTACAAACCATTCCTAGGGTATCAAATGTTTGTCGTGCAACACAAGAATAGTGAGAATCAAAAGTTAAACACGGATAACATTAGAATTTGTTTTACCCTAGGGTCGGGATTCAACTATATCATTGAAACCCAATCTCCAATAATTTGGTTACCAATAGTATGAAAATTATAAAATCCCACATTGAACCCCTCATAATACTCATAAATATTTGAAGACTTTTCTCTCATCATCAAACTACACCAAATTATTATAGATTTCAGTGATAAAATGCTCTAATAACTCACAATCAAGTCCTCAATCGTGCAGACATATGAATAGAGATGAAGATATCAGATCGCTTAATGGGGTTAAGGCACCTTTTAAATCACCAGTGACTTGGATTGAATCTTGTAATCCAACGATGATAAAAGAATTCAGGCTTCAAGAGTCTCATTACAAGAATTCATAATCTTGTAATCTTGTCTATATTATATTTTAATGTCATCACAACAAATTGAGACATGATTAAAAAAACAAGTCACGCCAGATAATGTTCAAATGCAATCATGTTTAGTAAAATAAAATATATATAAAATTTGATTGCGATCAATTGTAATATATATATATATATATACTCCTTGCTAAAAGGCTAGTGGATTTGTATATGATCCTAAAACATTTTTTAGTGTCCATCCAACAAATCAACTTCAGCCTAATTAATAACTCCAAAATACATGCAGTACCTAATCCATGTCCCTTGATGGCAACAAATTTGATCTCTTATGTATATCCTATGATTGTATAGTACGAGAAGACTAAATATCTTACACTACGAGTAAAATATAATTTTCTTTAGTTAGAATAATAAAATCAAGAATTGAACATTAATGAATGATATATTGTTGAAGTCTTTTCTCGAATCAAATTGATCCAAACCAATTCAACTCACGACCATTTCGATTAATACCTTTCCAACATCTAGTCACATTTGAATAGATTTTTCATTTGCAATAAAAAAATTTTAAAATTCAAGAAGAATTGCATAGAGAAAACATTTATCTAGATAACTAAATTATGTGTTTTCTAATATGATTAATCAAATTAAATATGGAAGATTTGGATGGAAGAAAAAAAATTAAATATATAGTTAGGTTCCATGGGATATTGACTGGCTTGGACAATTTTATAGTAGTAGTAGTACATACAAAAATTTAAAAATTAAATTACGTTGACTACCATCAAGTCATGTTCAATCAATTAATTATGAATAAACACACTACACGTACAGAATGGAAAATCAACATAAATGGGCCAGAATACTCACACCATGTGGGGCCCGCGCATTTTTTATTTTTAATACACAGTGAGGCACACCCCTTTGTGAGTTTTCTAGTGCATTTCCGTGGTTTGATTTCTGTACAAATGTCTAAAACCAATTATGAATTATCTCTAGCGCTATTTATTTTAATATTATCAATACTTTTAGGTGTACATTTTCTGTGATGCATAAAATTTGTCACACTACCTTTTTTTAATTAAAAAAAATTAAATGAGCGGAATATTCACCTTTGTCAACGGGTTACTCAGGAATGAATCAATTTCATATTGATTCTTAGATATAGGTTCACAGTAATATAACTCTTGTTTCTACAGCGTAGTAATTAACTAAAAGTATATAAGTAATTAAGAATATTAGCAAAAACCAATTAATTAGTCATCATACCTTGAAAGGGTTCAAAATAATTAGATTGTATTTATTCTTCAATATTTTTGGTCAACTTGAATAAAATAAATATCAAATCATATCATAAAAAAATAAATAATTCACATGCAACCATATCTGAGAAATGATAAGGTCCAACATAAGAAGACCACGTGGACTCTCCATTAGTCCTAACTTTTCCACCCAAATCCACCTCACCCTTTAGCACATGATACGTACTTCATAATCAATGTGTCATCCATCTTTATCTAAACTTAATAATAATAATAATAATAATAATAATAATAATAATAATCATTGAAATTTCAAATACATATTATTTTTCCAAGTAATCTATTTTAGCTTTTTTTTTTTTAATGATTTAGGGCTTAAATCAATTTGAGGAGTTAGTTTTAGGGAATGTAGGGTCCGTTTGATTGATATGATGGAAAGAAAATGAATTTTAGAGAAAATAATTGACTAGAACTAATTTTCCAGGGAATTGTTAATTAAGTGGGTTTGATTGGTATAATTTTCTACCCAGAAAATTTTAAAATTTTGGATCTTTTTGTGTTCGTTTGACTTTATTTTACATGAAAATTATTCATTAAAGTGATAATTTTTTTCGCAATTCGTTATAACATTTATTCCCATTAACAAAAACTAAAAAATATATATATGTATTTCGAAGAAAATCATTTTTTATCAAAGTTTAGTGTCCATTTGACTTTATTTTACATGAAAATTGTCCATAAAATGAATTTTTTTTACAATTGGTTATAAAATTTGTTCCAATTGCCAAAAAAAGAAAAAAAAGGTTGGAAACCAAATTCTCACCAAAATGGTGAGAATTGATTTTCACCAAAAAGTAGGAAAGACGGGCGCGTGGGATGAAAAAATTTTTTTTACAATTGGTTATAATATTTATTCCAATTGCAAAAAAAATTAATAAAAAATAAAAAAATGTGGAAATCAGCATGTGTGGACATTAGTAGGAAAAAATTTTCCATGGCAAAAAATGACCATCAAACAAGCCAAAACATGAAAAATAGAAATTGTTCTCTAACTTTTATGGAAAATGATACATATCAAACATGGCCGTATAGTTTTATGAATTCTGAATAGAATCCAATGTAGAGCCATGATTTTAGGTGTAGATGATTGTTGGGACTTGGAATTGGGTTACTAGGATTTGGGTTTTAAGAAATGAATTATGCTACATGTACAATATTGATTGATAACATTGGTTAACATCTTTTTTGGCATTTCATATCCATCTATTTTAAAAAATGGGTTATTGGCGCAAAACGTCCCTACCTATGACGGGTTGTGTGGAAAACGTCCCTACGTTTGATTTTTTGGTGCAGAACGTCCCTACCTATGCATTTTCTTAAATAATATTTACAAAAAAATTAGTGTTTGTTTAGATTTTTTTTTACATTAAAAATGTCCATTAAAATGATTTTTTTTTTTTTTACAATTGGTTATAAAATTTATTCCAATTGCAAAAAAAATTAATAAAAAATAAAAAATGTGGAAATCAACATGTGTGGACATTAGTAGGAAAAAAATTTCCATGGCAAAAAATGACCATCAAACAAGCCAAAACATGAAAAATAGAAATTGTTCTCTAACTTCCATGGAAAATGATACATATCAAACATGGCCGTATAGTTTTATGAATTCTAAATAGAATCCAATGTAGAGTCATGATTTTAGGTGTAGATGATTGTTGGGACTTGGAATTGGGTTACTAGGATTTGGGTTTTAAGAAATGAATTATGTTACATGTGCAATACTGATTGACAACATTGGTTAACATCTTTTTTGGCATTTCATATTCATCCATTTTAAAAAATTATTGTCTACTTCACATACTAAGATTTTGACAACACATGGTTATTAAAGAATATTGTACACTTAGATTAATTCTTAATAAATGATGATGATTGATTAGTATGCGCAACTCATCTTTATTGAAACTCAAAATCAAGAAAAAAAATTCCGATATGTAAATTTATTTGACCTTTTCTGTCTTATGATTTAGATCAATTTTCACGAGTTATGTACTAGTTATGGGATAACTTTAACATGTAACGTCACATTAATTTACTACTCTATTTGTCTTTTTCATATGTAACTAATATTACAATTTTAAGATGTAACACCACACATTAATTTAGTACTATACTAGTAATGGGCAACACTATAGATGGAAATAAAGTTTTTCTAACAATCATATAACTTTGAGTTGGATCGATAATTTATAATTTGTCACCTGACATTTCTAAGAATTCATAATCTATACTTGCTATAAAACATGAAAATCTCTTGGAAAAAGGGAACTGTAAGAGATGAATTTTTTTTTTACATAGAGCAAATGCAATAATTCAAATACTTAGATAAAAAATATTTTGATAAAAGTTAATAGAATGTGTGATTCCATGTGATTAAAATTTAATTTGATCAAAATATTATCAATCAAATAATTTTTTCACTTATCTTATTTTTATGTAAAATATTAAAACTTCAAATTAATATATTCACGTTTTTTGTATTGACTTACCAAATATGAACAAATTGGCAAGTGTTTTCCACGTCAACTAGCGCGTGCAACACCTCCATACCGTATTCCCACTATATATAATGGAATAATGCTCATCTCCTTTACCCACGCGTTGCATTTCGACTTTCTAGAGATCTCTGTCCATAGCAGCATAGCTCATCTCTCTCCCAGCCTCTCCGCTAAATCTCTGTTTTTTAGTACCCGCAACGAACGCTATTTTGAATTTTTCAACAATTTCCTTGTAATTTTTCATCAAATTGACTACAATTGATTAAATCTTGGTTTGGCTGAAAGATGAGATTGAATTTCGGGTGAATTTTACAAGCGTGTGCGTATATACGTTATAATAGGGTTTGTGAATGAGAATGGGTGGCGATGTAACGTACAATGAAGTAGACGAGGAGGAAAAGGTGAGAAACGAGGAGGAGAAAATGGTAGTACAGAAGAAATATAAGGCGGTGGTCGGAGGAGGATTTCCGCCGCCGACTAAGGTGGTGGTGGTGGGATATGCTCTCACATCTAAGAAAATTAAAAGCTTTTTGCAACCCAAGCTTGAAGGTTTAGCTAGGTATATCTTTCAATACTTTATCCCTTTTTTCCAATTGCTAAAGAAAATATAGGAAAATAAATATCATTTTGATGCAGCAAGAGAGATGGACTGCATACTGTTAATCATATTGTGTCTTTTCCTTTCTTTTCTCTCATGGTTCTCTTTNACTTCCGAGTGATTTGCAACGGATGACGATTTGAGTCCTTTGAATGATTGAGACAATTTATAAATGAAAGAAACTCAAGAAACGAAGTTTGTTAAAAAATACAAGAATGTTTGTTATAATCAAAACAAGTAGAGTTATATTGAATCATAGGTCAACAATATGCTAGAAAGTGTACCTCGAAACTTTTAAGAAATTGTGAACTTTTCAGAAGGATCTCAGTGGAAAGAGGCCATTAAAAGTGAAAAAGATTCCATTTTGCAAAATCATATATGGGAACTAGTGGATCTTCCTTTAGGAAGTAAACCACTAGATTACAAGTGGATTTTCGAAAGGAAAATGAAAACAGATGGAACAATCGAAAAGTCTAAGGTTAGATTAGTAATAAAATGCTACAAACAACAGGAAGGTCTTGATTACTTTAATATGGGCGTATTCGGTAGAGATTAAAATCGGATTAAAATTGAAAAAATAGCCGTTATTGTTGACTTTTATTAGACGAGTGGGACCCAATAACGGTCATATTTTCAATTTTAATTGGATTTTAATCGAAAACAAACGGCTCTAAATAAAATGTATAACATCTAATAGATTTCACCTCTTATTGCAGTTATCAGGAAAGGAATGGCGGCATGTACTTGAGGTTTGTCCCTCTAAACATACTACAGTTTTATCAAGAAAGCATCTATAACTTCTACTATATGATTAGGAAAGCACATATTTGACTGCTTAGGCTATCCCACAATATGATTGATGATGTGAAATGGACGCGGAATGTCAATGGCTGATGGTAAACCAGCAATCTTTTTGCTTGAAATTATTCCTGTCAGACATCATGTGCGGAATGCTTTGTTCTCTCCTCCGTCACGAATCATGACTTGATAATTGAGGTCGAAGCCTCGACTTAAGCGACGAGAATGTTCTCCTTCAAGGGGCTGGTTACCTGGTTTGCAGGTTTTTTAAGTATATCAAACAAAGGATTCCTGGTTTTATCTTTTAGTGGGTTCTTTTTTCCAGGGCTCACTATCAACCCTTATTAACAGCTTAACGGGAGTGGGCTAACCTAATTCATGTTTTTGGGCTTCTGTATTTTAGTTCAAAGTGCTTGCTATTTTGTTTTATTTGGGATGCTTGTTCACTTGTCCTTTTATGCTATTAAATTGTTGAAACCTCTAGCGTGCTATATTTTCAGTTAAGAGCGATAGATATTCATGGGAAGTTATATACTAAACAATTAGAAATTGTTAATTTGCTTTGGAAGGTCTGGAGTTTTTCAACTTGTCAATATTTTGGAATTGGATTCTTTTCCCTTCCCTTTTTGACGATCATGCATGTGATATGCCTGCAAATGCTCGGAATACAAATCTGCTATACGCTGACTGTGGAAAGAAAAAGGAAATTCCCATCCCATGGCTTGAATGACAACATGGGATAAATTTGTTGAACAAAAATCCTTTTTAGCTACCTTATAATGCTGAAAGGGTAAAATACACAGCAGAACTTGATTATAAATTTTTATTTTATATTTTTTTATTCATGATTTATTTTATGGTAAATTTATTATGCTAAGTGTATATCTTCTAGGAATGAAGATAATCAGAACTAAGATGTGGTTCTTAGTTTTTGGAGGGTTTATTGCAAATTGATTTCTTATTGTAAGAGCTTTTTTTTTCAGCTTTCCATATGTCCTGCGTCAATGAATATATGATCTTTGATGTTAAAGCTTTCTAGGTTCCTTTCATTTTTAGGAATCTAAGATTCAACTGCATTGTGCGATCCACACGCTTCTTGATCTTCTGAATCTGTTTGCAACCCAAGATCTCATCATCTGTTTCTCCAGGTGCTACAGATATTAAAAAGAAAAATAAAAAATAAAAACGTTATAACATTATAGGGGTCAAACGATCTGCTCTAAAATCTGCCATTAATAAAAACGTCCAGAAAATCAAGGCCAACAAGCTCATACTTCTAACACCCTGAAGCTTAGCCTTGAGGTGGGAGCCTCAGTAAGTTGAGGGGTACCTTGACAAACGGCACTCAAGGTGTAAGATTTGAGACATTAAATGAAGATCTCATGCGAGGTACACTGCAAGGCTTATGTCTTGGGTGCTTTTCAAACTATGAAGGATCTTTGCAGACATTCCTGTCCCTGAGGATTCTTCTTGCATATATTAAACCATTTTGTGGGAGAGAATGTTGTGTGTCTGTGTTGATTTGGAATGCCAGCTGTCTTTTAATTTATCCACGGTTGCTGTTCTCCTGTAATTTGATTATGTTCTCACATGAATTTGCTCAATTTATTTTCTTTAGCCTTGTTTTTCATATTGTGCTTTCTTTGGCTTGGGAAGCTGTAAATAATGCAATGGGGGATGGAGTAATGGTTGTCGTCCATTAAGCAAGTTTCACAATATAATGTCATGTTAGAGATGGCATGTGACTAACATTCCTAATCTATGTTTCATAATTTTATTTCCCCGGTTGAGAATCTGGAGCTTCTGACTTTACAAGTTGTGCTTGTTCTAGTTGCTATACAAACTTAAATATAAACTTTCAAAAAGTCAATTCTTTTTCTCTTTATCATTTATTTACCTCTTTTTGAAGGATTATGGGCAAAACCATCCTGAAGTCACAGTTCTTGATCCTCCAGATGCCATACAGCAAGTGCATAATCGCCAGTCTATGCTTCAGGATGTTGCTGACATGAACCTGTCGAATGCCTACGGTAATTCTCGATATACATTAGGATGAATGGCAAACTTTTTGTTACCTTATGCTATCATTCTCTCAACTTCTTTTTCTTGGGTGGAGTGGTGCGTGCATTTAAAGCATGCTTGGTGCTTATTTATGTTCTTGCTGCTGTAGTAGATATAATTTGCAAGTGTTTTACCTAACATTGTTCTTGCTAAAATACTTCTGCATAATTATATAGCTCTGTGTTCATCTGGAGTGTAGGAAAAGTCGGTGTCCCAAAACAACTGATATTCAAGAAAGATCCATCATCAATTCCTGATGCAGTCAACAAGGCTGGGCTGAGGTTTCCCATTGGTATGCCTTCATCTTATGTTTACATACATCAGTTTAATCACCAAATTTTGAAGAAAGCATGACATTGTGTGTGTGGTATGCGCACTTTTGAAATTATTATGATGTATGGTAAAGTTCTCTATTATTTGGACAAATGTGATGATTACAACTTGTATGGATTGTCACTTACTTTAGGAAATTTAATTTTTATATGCTTCTCACTTTAAATATTTATTAATTTTGTCATTCTCTATGTTACAGTGGCAAAGCCCTTGTTTGCAAAGTCGCATGAGTTATCTCTTGCATATGATGAATTCTCTCTTCAGAATTTGGAACTGCCACTTGTCTTGCAGGAATTTATCAATCATGGTATGGGTTATAATTGATGTGGTGTACTGCAGCTCTTCCACTGTCTGCGTGGTGAATGCATCATCACTTTCTTTATATAATATATATTTTTTTGTGTCTGTAGGTGGTGTTATGTTTAAGGTTTATATTGTTGGTGAAGCAATTAAGGTGGTCAGGCGTTTCTCCTTACCTGATGTTAGTAAGCGTGAACTCTCTAAGAATGCTGGTGTATACCGCTTTCCAAGAGTATCTTGTGCCGCTGCATCAGCCGATGAAGCAGACCTTGATCCATGTGTCGGTGGTGAGCTTATTCTATTGGAGCACACAGATTGTTCTATGCAATATATGTTATATGAATTAACTCATTGCCTTGTAATGTGATGTGCTGGAATATGTTTATGTTTCTCACATGGAGCTCTTAAACTTATCTATATCTGTTTTGATCTCCTGTTATTTGATTAAGCTAGTCATTTTTGCATGTACCATGTTTTGAAATCCATTTCTGACAGCAGCACTTAAGTTTTAGTTGTAACCTTCTTCCCTGCAGAGCTCCCTCCACGACCATTACTTGAGAAAATGGCGAAGGAACTACGTCGACGACTGGTATTCTCATTTCCCTTTCTGATACTTCAACTGCATTAAGGATGAAAAACTGGTGTTATTTTGCACGTTATTGGTTCTCTATTGGTTGATCATTATTTCCATTTCTTTCTGTATTATATTCGATAGGGTCTTCGGCTGTTCAACCTTGATATAATTCGAGAGCATGGAACTAGAGACAGTTATTATGTCATAGACATCAACTATTTTCCTGGTATGCCACTGTCCATTATATGTATTCTAATATCACTTGGTTATCATTATGATAGAGACAGTGAGGGATTGCATTTATATTCGAATTGCAATTCCAACTTCTTACCTGCTTGTGTATAATTTGCAGGTTATGGCAAAATGCCAGAATATGAACACGTATTTACAGATTTTCTTTTAAGTCTGGTACCAAGAAAATAGAAGGAGAGAGAGAAATGTGTGTGCTGTATGGGAAGTGTTTCACTAAATATGGAAATATTATTTTGGCCATGGATGTGCAGGACGAATTGAAGTTAACTCCCGCGACTCTAAATTCCATGTGACAAACAATAATATGTGCTCAGTTTCTGTTTTTCTGTCCCATCATGAATTTGGTGACTTCAGGGGAAATCATCATGGGTTGTGCCCCTTCGTTCCAAAATTCCTTGTTTTCTCCTAACTTGATGCTTTTATACTCTTCTCACATATGTTTCGAGTTGTTTGGTTCAGCGTGGCTGAATCCATTGTAGTTCAACTTGGAGCCCATGTAAATCCCTTTTAGCTCAACAACATGTACATTCTATTCTGATTCAAATTTGTTGGTCCTTCAATTTTTGCGTGTTCTGGTGTTTGCTGTGCTTACTCATATGAGCAGTGGAGATAATTGCCGGATTGTTGTCCCGGTTCTCGTTAGGTGACTGACATTCTTGCCTGTGTTTTTCACTGTGGGGTCTTCATCATTGTTACTATGTTAGATTTTTTATTTTTCCAAAGGATTTCCTTCTCCAATTCTGTGGAGTGGGCATGTATTTGAACGAAAAAAATTGCTGTTCTTATTCATGTGTTCAGTTTTGCCAAAGAAAAAAAAGGATCTCTTTAAGCTCGATTCATTTGTTCGAGACGATAGTAAAAATAAGTCTTCAGAATGATTGCAAGTTCTAGACGGACATAAGCAAAAATATACGTGGCCTGGTGGATTGAGTAGAACATGATTGAATGGTATCATGCTCTTTTTTCTTGACATTTTGGACATTGGTTGAACTTTTGAAAGCTTAAATGAAGTCAACAACTACAAATTTAGAAGTGACGTCGGAAAGAACTTTTGTACATGACACGTTTGAAATGCAAAATAAAATGCACCTTTACCAGATGTATGTCTCCCCATGCCTTATTTTTGATATTTCCTCGGTTTGCTCAATCAAAGAGAATGAGAAAAGAAAGTGTTGGATTTAACAGTTCAACAAGGGTGGTGCTTGTAGGTTATTTAAGGACTTCCACGTTTTTTTCTAAGAGGGTTGACGCATCACGACTTTTTAGAACCTTGACGTCGTTCTAGGCTACTTGAAAGGCGCTCAACCCAATCATTTCCATTTATTCAACTCAATCCTAGTTTCTTTTACATGTAAGTAGCCAAAGCAACAACATATAGGAGGCAAAATGTACAAGTTTAGAGCACAATCTACAAGTACATTTTGGATCATGTAGAATTTTGTGTATAGTTAAACTCTTCGGTATTTCCATTTTAGGAAATATATAGTATTGAATAAAATCATTACCATTCATTTGGAGGGATATTGAGTATAAATAAGGGCAATTAATCTGACCCACAGCAGCATATGAGGAAGTAGGAATGTTAGGTTTGTGGTGTGTTTGACTGTTGAATAATACTTGTACATAATGAGTTACAAAATAGTTTACATACAGTTGATGTGTCAAGGAGAATGAAAAAGTTATTTGGTTGAAAAAATTATGACTTAAATCATATCTAAAAATATCACGTGTATGTAAATCATTATGTACATGCAATACAATCGTTGACTGTTTAATGATATTTTTTACGATTATACTACATGTACATAACAATTTATATAATAATTTACATACATATGATATAGTGAGATATAATTGAATCAGAATTATATGTAAATTATTATGTAATTATTTATATAAAAGTAAAATTATTTTATTTCTTATTGTGGATTTTCCTGGTTGTGCATCAAGCATGATCGAGGGATGTACTAATGCTGAGCTGACACTTTTTAAGTTCAAAATCTTGTGATCCTCAAAAAATAAAAATAAAAAACAATAAAAAAAATCCCCTCTTTGCTGCCCCGTAAAACGGGAGATTTTCATAAATAGCCGGTCAACTTAGAGGTTTTTAGGCCTTTTGTTAAAAAGTCAATTTTACCCTTAATGAAATAAGTTTTTATTGCAAAGCATGTCCTCACGTTTTAGAATAGTTTTAAAAACTAATTTTAACTATTTTTACTCATTTTCACTAGATATTTCTTCCTCAA